GATGCACCCCTTTTTCTGAACAAGTCTGCCTTCAGTCAGTCAAAAAAAACCGAAATTGAGTTTTCTCACGCATTCCTTTATTTAATTTGAGTCGTATCCTGCCAGCCAAACAAAAATCAGGGTAGGGGCGCACACAGTATGCTCAGTCAAACATAGCAAGGCGTACAGGTAGGGGTTATACCAGGGTATATAGAGGGAAAACAACGGTTACCTTTCAATTCTCTGCCTCCAGAGCCTCGCCTAGGCTTCGGCAGAGCTCCCGCAATCGGTGGGGCGAACCTCCCACAGAGGCCTTGGCGCGGATTACGGGTTGCAATCCCGCCTGCCGCCTTCCTCTCAGAACCTGGACTAGACTTAGAGTAAGAAGGGCAGAAGGTAGATAGTTCTGAGACTCTCAGATCCAAGGATGGTGCACTCAGACTCGCACGAGAGGGCCTTGATTTTCTCGATTCGCCTGAGGGCCCCGCAATGATGGCCAAACATCAACAGCTTGGTCGACCTGAAACCAGGCTGTCAAAGTCAACCCTCTGACGACCCCTTAATTGGCAGCAATAACCTCCCCTCTCTCAAGCCCTCTGAGGTACCCAGCAATCAGCAACAGTCCGCCTACAGTCAAACGCAACAGCACTTCCTCACAACTCCCTTCTCAGCAACAACCAGCCAGCTAACTTTAATCCCCTGCGCCAGTGCCGAGCACGGTAGTAGGAGCGTACAAATAGAGAGATCAGCGCCACAACAAATAAATCTATGGCTCGCTCTCAGCGAGCACCGTGCGCATAACAGCAGTCGCACGCCAGCCAGCAGGCAGGACTGTATTCCAAGGTCCCGCCCGCCCCTCGCCCCCTTGCCTTCCCGGTGCCACAAACGGATCGTACATCGGCCGTCAGGGGAGTACGCCTCCTTCTGAGTTCGCAGGCTAATCCCGTAGCCAGCTGCCTTTTTGCCTCCGAACGGTGGTTAAAGCGACTCAGCAATCCACAAATAAGGCTTCAACCACATCCCCCACTTCCTGTTGTTTCGACTGTTGACCAATCTCCCAGCCCCGGGGCTATTCCCTCACTGCTCTCTTCGCCCGGGCGGAGGGCCCACCGGCCAACGGTGCACTCATGTTTTACGGCCCTTCCACTACCTCCTCGTTCTCTTTCCCCTTGCTACTCTTCCTTACTCCTCCACAGTCCCGGAGCCATGACCTTGGGCAGAATCCGACGTCACCTGTTCAGAAGCACGCTCCCCTCCCCTATTCTCTCTTTCTTATGGTCTCCTTCTCCCTCTCTCTATACGAGCCCTAGCGGTCAACCACCCAGCCCTACTCTCGGCCATGTTCCGCCCCCAGTGAACCCAGGAGTAAGGTGCTAACACGGAATGACCGGGGTGACGAAAGAGCACTATCCTGGACGATTGTGTGAGGACGACGGACAGCCTTCCTTCCGTGCCCATAAAGGGAAGGGGGAGACGTGCGAAGCAAAAAAATCAGAAAAGGACGAAACGATAACGAAGCACCCAAAAATGTATCTTCCGCGAGAAAACGGAAGGATTCATCGTTGCACTGCTCCTCCCTGTGCGCAGCCCCTACACACCTCGACACCGAGTTTGCTACTCTCCTTCGAACCTGCTTTCACCAATAGGCTAAGCAGGACCGAGCGAAAACTTCCAAGCGAAACCGGGCAGGTACGTGCCCCCTTTTCCCTGCGCCTAGCCCCCTTTTTCGTCCAGATTCACTTCCTACTCTAACTCCAAATCTAATAACTTTCCTCCAAATCCATCCCCACTACTCACTTCGCCCTACCTATAACCCATATCTACTACTACCAATATAACGCATAAAAATTGAATGAATCTTTCGTAAGAGTGCGACCAGGTACACAGTCTGATTTCACATCCGTTTCTGGGCGCAGCCTGGGATACTAACCGCGGTGGAACTAACATCCCACAGCAAAAACTAACGTTGCCATCCTCTTCGCGCTGCCCCAAAACCCCGAGTTTGCGTCTTCCCCCACCTGTTTCCGTCAAGAAACGGGGGAGTTACTCCCCTTTTCGCTCACCACTCCGCCATATCCCGATACCTCCGCGCAGTGTCCTTTTCATCTAACTCTCACTCTACTTAACTAACTCCAAAACTAACTTCACTAATAGACTCGCCCGGGGCTAAACCCTCCAGATCGAGCCTCCCTACATCAAGAACGGCCGAGAACCGGCCGTATACACTAACTTTCTCTCCCGCTCACTTCTTCACCCGCCATCTCTCAGCGCACTGTATTTCTCTACTAACTCGCATCTTACTCACCGATTTCTAAAACTAACTTCATGATCTAACTCGCAAACACCTAAAACCCCCACCCACCACCTTTTCGCTCTCGATTCTGTTACGAATCGAGCAAGCTGCGGCCATCTGGCTGCGCCCAACCCATCGCCCCGCCATTGCCATTTCTCCATGCGCCGAATGCACCCGGCGCGAATTCGTGCCCGGGTTCACTCCGCCCCGTTTCTCCCACCTGGTGTCGCGTCCGGCCCTTCGCTTTCCCCTGTTGGTGCTACCGGCTCCCCTCGCCTGCAGCCACCTGCCTGCTTCCGCCGGTCCGTCCCTCCGCCTCACTCACCGTGCTCCGCTTCGTTTCGCTCCGTCTGCCACCATCAGCGCTTTCTTCTTCCCGGATGAACCTAGCAGGGACTACGTCTAGCTTCGCCCATCCGTTTAGTGCACTCCGTCCCTTCCCACTCGTCGTTTTCCCTCTCCCGCAGTTCCCGACGGCACCCCGCTCCCACAGCCTTAGCGCCCCTATGCTCTGCTACCTCGACACTCCCGCCTTTGCTCTCACAGCGCCCGCCTCCCCGCTGCGCTATCGTCCGCCTTGACAGTCAGTCGTTCTGAGGGGGACTTCGGCGGCAACCAACTACTAGACGGTTCGACTAGTCTTTCGCCCCTATACCCAAGTCCGACGAACGATTTGCACGTCAGTATCGGTGCGCGCCTCCACCAGAGCTTCCTCTGACCCTCGCTCTACAGCCCCAGCTACCCTGCGGCTGCCCAGCCGGACCCCCGCCGCCCACTCTCATCCCCGCCTGAACCTGGCGGGGCCCCCGACTGGGTTCTCCTCCCTCTCTGCGCGGCCCCCACCCGCCTGGCTCCGGGGCCACGCAAGTCTTTTCTGTATGGTTCCAATTTTAACAGATGTCCCGAAGGACTTAACCACGGCTGACCCCCCGCGGTACCACCCCACCCGTGACCTTTCAAAATCTGGGCAGCCAGCCACGGCACCGCGCCCTGGACCAAAGCAGGACCGTGAGTAATAAATAAAAAATAGCACTAATAATAATAATGAAGAATGGCAAGTATAAAATAAAGTAGCATAAAAATAAATCCACTAATAATAATAATGAAGAAAGGCAAGTATAAAATAAAGTAGCATAAAAATAAATCCTTAAACAGGGTGCGGGGGTAAAGTCCCATCGGTCCCATGGACCGGCCCCGTCGCCGCGCTGGCTCAACAAAACCAGAGGGGGATAGCCCAATAGGGCCCTCAACCCCTCAGTTTCCTCCATAACACCTTGCTGCTGCTACGCTGACGCCCGCTGGCCTCAATCCCTATACCTTCCCCACAATAGTCCAATACCATAACCAATAGGGCTAAGCCCAAGCCTAAGACAAATGGGCGCGGACCCCAATATGAAGTGGTGCCGCTCGGTGCCTAGGCCTGGGAAGAACAGCCTACGCCCCTTTCCTGTCTACAACCAACGTGTCGTCGCTAGGCACCCTCGCCGGCCTACCCGGACCGCGCCGTGGCTGCCCCGCACGCCATCCTATACGCCCCATTTACCGCACAGGGTCGCACCGTCGCTGTCGATGCCGTCGTCCTCGCACGCGCGCTCGCCTCGATCAAACGTACCAAACAAAGGAAAATATCCTTACTTCCTGCTTAAAAAAAATGATAATAATATCATTAGACAAAACGACCGATGTTCGCGCCGACTTTATGATCAACAACAGAAAAGGAATCACGCGCGCCTTAAACCTGCGCGCCCACGCACTCTCTATTATAGTCAACCATACAGTCAACATAGACCACAGACGCAGTCACGCCTAGCGCAGTATACTTAGACCTTAAACCAAGCTATTTTCCGTCACCTGCGAAAACCAGGGCGGATACCATTGTAAGGGTATTCGCGCCGACAACGTGTTTGTGTTGTGTCGTTTTCGTGTGTGTGTGTGTTTTATTTTTGTGTCGTAAAGTAAGTGTGCGCGTGGTGTGTGGAATGCGTCCTAGTCGACCGACGTCGAGCCGCGCTTGGGACTTCAGCCCCCCAAGATGTCGGCTCGTGTGCGGGCCCGACAGGCGTAGTACCGCGCGTACCCCCTATGCTACAGCGAACAAGAAACGCCCTCAGCTGGTCCACCTCTGCGATTGCAACCGAGTAGCTTTCGTACTGTGGACTGGTAGCACGGCGGGGATAGGCCCACCGAAGGGAGGTGACAGCTTTCGTAAGGTGGAGGTAAGTTGTGCCTCGTGTAGGCCCTATCCTGTTGTAGGGGCTCGTGAGAGGTATGGCTGACGCACTCGGCTGGAGCGGCCCAAGGAAGCTCCATTTGTGTGTTCGCGACAAGGTTGGTCCAACTCCTGCGTGACGCGACCGAGAGGGTCCCGCACTGCCACGTGCGGTGCCGGACCGATGCGCTCGACAGGTGGCGCCGTTGTCGGGGATAACGGAAGCCTACCGTTGTCCCTGGTGGAACGACATCCGGGTAATATGAGAATGAGAGAGGACTAGGCACGTGAGCAAATAAGAGAAGAACTACGAGATGGGTCGTATGGTAGTCTATATGGCTGTGTGGGTATGAAGGTTGATCTGATTGGTGGTTTGGTTGGTGGCATGAACGAGGTGAGTGTGTAAGCGAATTCTGTGATGAGAATGGGTCCTGCTTAGGTGAACCCAAGGGAAGTAGGAAGTAGAGAGAGAGGTGTCTGTCAGGTCCTGAGCGTTGGGTGCTTAGAGGGTCGGTCCGACAGGATCGTGAAGGGATGGACTGCTGGGTGGAAGCTTTCGTCCTATCGCTTCTTATAACAGGGTGATTGAAGGCGAAGGCAGTTAATCAAAATGCCTGAGGAGATGGCGGATGGCGGGAGGAAGCTTGTAACGCTCGACGACCTCATCGATGCCCTGGATAAGCGCGAGAGAGCTCCGAGCAATGTCCCGAAGGTTGATACTTTCCACTTCAAGGGGGAATGGGTGTCCGACTGGCAGGACCTGACTGAGCAAGCACTGGTGGGGCTGCCGGACGAGGTTAAGCTCCAGCGAGTCCTAAGATATGTCCTTCATAGCCACCATCAGGAAGTGGGCAAGGTCGTGGATGCCGCCAATGGTAGTTGGGCGAGGTTCAGGGACATGATGCAGAGAAAGTACAGGTTGGGGGATGACTTGCTAACCATGGCGGATTTGGAGGCCATGAACAAGGATGATTTCTCCACGATTGGGGCGTTTGTGCACGAGTTTAAAAGGAAGGTGCGGAAGGTGCACGGGATCTCCGAAGAAATACAGTGTGCCATATTCTTGGGTCTGCTTACTGGCTCGGAGGCCTCGGAGCTGACGGGTCACGGAGGGGGAAGTGAGAAACTCACCTGGGCCACTATCGACAAAGGGGTGGAAGTGGGGAGCCTGGACCAGGTGGAGCAGCACCAAGTGCGGCTGCAAAGGCGCAAGAGAAAGGAAAGGGACGCCACCGCGTCCGGGACCCCAGGGGTGAAGAGGATCGTCACAGACGTATTGGCAGCGCTGGGGTATGATAATGAGGCGGAAGTGCAAAAGAGGGGAGTGACCGTGGCACAAGGCCGGGCGTCAAGGGCAGTGGAAGAGGAGGCTAGGCGCGAGGACTATGGCAGAGAAGAGACGGGCTCCCAGATCCTAACCAAAGCCCAGAGGAAGCAGCAGAATTTACAAGTGGGGGGTCAAGGATCCGGAAAAGGGCAGGTCCCGCAAACAATTGCTGCGCCGCCACCTGCGGCCACGACAATGTCAGCAACGGTCGGGCCGTCATGTATGGGGCCGCCGCCGGCTTGTGGGCATTGCGTGCCGCATTGTCAGCCTACGTCCTGGCCCAGTTGTAATCACTGCGCCTCGTGCGGGGGTAGTCAGACTCAGCCCGGGCAAATGATCCCTTGTGCGGGCCCAGCGGCAAGTATGGGGCCCCCGAGCTACCCTGCGGCTCAGGGTCAGTTTGTGGTCCAACCACCTCCCTCCCAACAGGCCTCGCAGGTTAGCGTGGCCGGTGGAGGAAACCAAGGACAAGGCGGACAAGGCAATGGAGGCCGAGGTCAAGGGGATCGAGGGGGTGGAGGCCGAGGCCGGGGAGGAAATGGTGGGGGTCGTGGGGGTGGTTGGAATGGTCAGAACCAAGGTGGCCGGGGCGGCCAGGAAGGGGGCCAAGGGTATGGGAGGCCCCGCTTTGATTGGCGAAATGCCACCTGTTGGCATTGTGGCGATGTAGGCCACACTGTGTAATTCTGTGAGCGGCGGCAGGAGGATGAGTTGTTAGGGTTAATCTCCTCCTGTATGGATGGGGATATATATGACAAGTGGGGTGAGCATATCGACCCCAGGACCCCAGGAGGAATCAGGCAAGAGGCTCTCCGGCGAGCAGCAGCGGGACCCACATCACCCCCGACAATGTTTAGGATGTGGCAGGAGAAGGAAGGGCCGACCGTAAGAGTCGAGGAGATTGTAGGGGATAGTGAGGAAGTCACTCAGCGACTAAAGGCGGGGACTATAAGGGAGGAGCCAATAGTCGTCGAATCGGATGACGAGGGGCAGGAAGGCGAAGGAGAGTCGGCCATAGTCGTCCTGGGGAGGATGGAAGATCTGCTGGAAAAGGTGGGAAGGTACCAGGGGAAGTTGCAGGCCCTGTGTGAAGAAGCCCGAGAGTGGGAGGCCAATCTGCTTGAGGTCTTCCTCTACGACTCCGGACCTGAGCCTTCGTCAGGACAACAGGGGTACCCAAGGGTGGCAACCGTAGGGACGGGCCCTAGGTCAAGTATGGCCTATAGACCCCCCACGTCGCATTGGAGGGTGCCACAGGCGGCTCGGACCAGAAGCCAAAATAAGGCCGGGCCTAGCCAAGAGCCCAGTCAGGCACCCAATCAGGCACCCAGTCAGGCACCTCCTCGAGGGGAGTCTGAGCCAGGGCGCAGGAAGGAGGTGGTGGAAGTCCCGGAGGAAGAGGAAGAGGATGACGATGAGGAGGATGAGAGGCTCCGACAAGAGGAGGATCAACGAGCGGAGATGAGGGCCAAAAAGAGAGGAGCCCGGGAGGAGGCCGAGCCAAGCCTGCCCGACAGCGTGCCTAAGAGGAAGAAGTACGAGGTCCGGATGGAGGAAGGCTTTGATGTGGAGCGGATGGTGGACAAACTCCTGGAAGGCCATAATGACTTTATGAACCTAAAGGACATCCCGGCGTCGGCGCCAAGACTCTGTGGTGAGTTGAAGGGACGACTGTCACGAAGGCTGGTGCCAAATGTCCATCTGAGTACGGTCCTGCCCAGAGAGGTGGAGTGGATTGAGGTAGGGAGAAGGATGGATTGGAAATGTGTGGCGTGCGGGCAGGTGGATCTGGTGATAAAGAACCAGAAGTGCACTGGGATGGTGGACACGGGCGCAGAAATGAACATCATCACGGAGAAGGAGGCGGTGATGATAGGCATGGAGATCGACCGCTCGGACCATGGCATGCTACATGGTGCTAACTGCAAGGCCGCCTTTTGTGGCACAACGTCAAATGTGATTATAGAGATTGGGAAGGTGCGAGTCAGGACTTGTTTTTTCGTTATGCCCGATGTCGATCACCCCATCCTCCTGGGGAGGTCGTTCTTGTGTCGGACGGAAATGTTGATCTTCAACAAGCACGACGGAACAATGATCCTGCTCCTGTGCGACCCGGCGTGTGGGAATTATGAAGTTATCGCCTGCGGGAACACGGGGCTGGGGAGCGGGAGGAATAGGCCCAATCTAGGCTCGTTCACCTTTGAGGAATCAGAGAACGAGCGGCGACGGTTTTGGGAAGTGCCCAAGGAGGAAGATAGGGCTGAGGTGCTGACATTGAGCCTCACGGATGTGAATAAGGCCATGGAGGTGGTATCGGCTCACGACATGGCGGATCAAGGGGCCATTAAGGCTTTGAGGGAACAGGTTTTGGAGAACCCTCAGGTGGGGGAGGTGGAGTTGGTGTATCGGCTTCCGGGAGGGAGGGGAGGCCCTGCGATGACCCAGGCCCAAACGACAAGTCGGCCTTTTTTAGGGGAGGGCTTAAGCAGGGTTCCCAAAGGCGGTACAAGACCATAGATAAGAAGTGCCGCCCAGTTCCCGTGCTCGTCACAGAAGATAAGGAAGCCTACTACGAGTGGGAGCGAGGGTTGATACGGCGTATGCGGGAGCACGCGTTGGTCGGACCGTGTCGTATCAACGATGAGAATGAGGGAAAGCTGATAATCGGAGAGCCCGACTTCCTTTCGCCCCAGGAAAGAGTGTTGATGGTGGGGCTAATGAAGAAAAGGCACCGTGCGTATGCATTCAATGACGACGAGCGTGGGAGGCTGGATGTGGACAAGGTCCCGATGATCAGGATCCACACGGTCGCACACGAGCCATGGAATCTAAGAGGCGCGCGGTACCCTAATCCGGATGAGGAAAGGATGGTGGTGGACTACCTGGACGACAAGATGCGGACGCACGTGACCGACTATTCCAGTGGGCCGTACGCGTCGCCTTGGTTTTGTTTTATTAAACCGAACGGGACGCTAAGGTGGGTGCAAGACTTGCAGCGGCTAAATGCGGTGACAATGTGGGACGCGGGAGGATTGCCGAATGCGGACACATTGTCAGAATCGTGCGCAGGGAGGCCTATAATCTCGCTTATAGACCTCTACTCGAGGTATAACCAATTCCCCGTATACCCGCCAGACAGGCCCGTAACGACAATGCACACTCCTAGAGGGTTGATTCATATGAACGTGGCGCCCCAAGGTTGGACGAATGTAGTGGCGATGGTGCAAAGACATATGATCACAACCATGCAGACGGTCATCCCACACATCACTCAGCCCTATATCGATGACCTGGCGGTCAAGGGTCCGAAGGAAAAGAAGGAAGACGAAGTGATTCCCGGTGTGCGGCGCTTTGTTTGGAAGCATGTCCAAGACATCGATCAGGTTCTGGGGTTATTGGAGGAACATAACCTGACGGCGAGCGGCCCCAAGTCGAAGCATTGTATGAAGGAGGCCACGATTCTAGGCTTTGTCTGTAATGAAAGTGGGTGAAGGCCTGATGTAAAGAAGACAGACAAGATCCTTGAGTGGCCGGTGCCCTTCCACTCGATAACGGATGTGAGGAGCTTCCTTGGGACGTGCGGATTTTGGAGGAGCTTCGTGAAGGACTTTGCCACGAAGACGGAGCATTTAAGGAAGTTGGTGCGCCAGGATCAAGAATGGGTCTAGGGCGAAGACCAGGAAGAGGCGGTTGGTAGGATGAAGAGAGAGTTTAAGGAAGGAGGCTTGGTATTGGGAGCGCCAAACTATGAGGCCACGAAGGAAAGACCATTCGTCATTGAGACGGACGCTGGGCCAACTGCCTTGGGAGGAGTCCTGATTCAGGCAGATACTGAGGGGAAGGAGAGTCCGCTAAGATTCGAAAGTCGTACCCTCAATACAACTGAGAGGAATTACTCTCAGTTCAAGAAGGAGACGCTGACGGTACTCCATTGCCTAAGGACCTTCCGGAACTATGTTTTTGGCAGGAGGCTCATCTTGAGGGTGGACCCTACTGCACTGGCATGTTTCCTGAAGAATTATACTTCATCTGACTCAACCGTCGCAAGATGGTTGACCTACATTTGGATGTTTAATTTCGAGCTGGAAAGGATCCCAGGGAACAAAAACAGGGCAAATGGGTTAAGCCGCATCAACTGGGACGGATTGGACGAAGAATCGATAGAAGACACACCGCCAGTTGATAGGTTTTTGGACCAAGAGGAGGACGTCCGCCTGCACATAAACGAATGGTCCTTACGAGTGCCCAGTTGTGTCAGCCACCCCATATGGCTGGCACCAAAGGGGTACGAGCAGAAGGGAGAGTTAGTCCTCAAGCCCTTTCAGGAGGAGGATCCGTGGGGAAGTAAGGATGTTGGTTGGATGATGAAGTTGTCGTTGGCAGGTACGCATAGTCTGGTGGAGGAAGTAAGGACAATGGAGGAGGGCCCCACTCAGGTAGAGGAGCATGAGCAGCTAATGGGAGGGATGTACCTGCTTACCAATACGTTCCTGCAAGGAAACTTCGACCGAAAGGGCTCGTTCAGTCACGAGGAGAATGAGATTCTGGTTCCTGAAAGCCGGGACGACGAATTCGAGGAAGGAAAAATCAAGGAGGTGTTTCGGGCGGAGGAGTACGATGGGATCTACCGGGAATCGGGGTTGCTCCTATCATGTGAGATGAGGGATAGAGATGCGAGTGCCAAGGCACAGAAAATGAGGCACCTCTATGTGGTAAGAGACGGCCACTTGTTTATAAAGCGGTAGGTCGGGAACCCCAAGAGGATTGTATGTGGGATAAACCGGCAAATTGATATCATAGCGACCATACATGATGGTACAGCAGGGGGGCAAAGAGGAGTGGGTGCCACATGCGCGAAAATAAGCGAGCTCTACCATTGGGACGGGATGCCGACGATGGTTATCAAATACTGTCGGTCTTGTATACCTTGCCAAGAAAGGTCAGCGCAAAGCCCTGGAGAACCCCTACACCCAAGGTTAGAAAGGGAAGTGGGTGCGGTCGTACACCTGGACCTATTATTCATGCCAGCAGGGGAGAATGGGTGTAACTACATCTTCGATGCACGGGATAACCTTACTGGATTTGTGGACGGACGAGCTATCCGGACGAAGACTGGCCGGTTTTGGCGAACTTCAATGAGGAGTATTACCTGCGATGCCCTTTTGTCAGGGAGTTCGTGATGGATCGAGGATCAGAGTTTACCTGCAATGAGGTGAGGACGTTGCTTGCAGGGTACGGCGTAGTGGCCAACTATACTACGACCGCACACCCTCAAGCGAACGCTCCTGTGGAGAGGGGGCACAGTACCATCACGAATCTCCTGGCTAAGTGGACAGTGGGCAAACCTGGTCAGTGGCCGAAGTTCCTACGGGCAACGTTCTTCGTGGAGAATGTTACTGTAAAGAGGACTACCAAGTACGCGCCAGCCACGCTATGGTACGAGAGGCATGCCACCTTTCCCATAGAAAGCTTTATGAAGACGTGGAGGCGCCAGGACTTGGAGGTAAAACTGTCTTTCGAAGAACTGCTCGATATTCGGGCACGGCAAGTGGGGGCGGCCGAAGAAAGGAGCTGGTAAGGTGGAGAGGAGTCGTATGGAAGATAAGATGAGGTGGGACCAGATGGCACGAGTAAGAAAGGAGCCATTGGCAGTAGGGGATGTCGTATTATTATATGACTCCTCTTTGGAAAAGCAATTGTCGAGGAAGCTTGACAAGAGATGGTTGGGCCCCTATAGAATATTGCGATGCGGCGAATTTGGGGCCTATCAGATCGAGGAGCTGGACGGGACAGGCTGGCAAGATTGGGTATCAGGAACCAGGCTGAAGAGGTTCGTGGCCAGGGAATAGGTAAAGAATTCTACCTTTCTCAGAGTAGACTGGTCCTTGAGGTATCGCATGTTATGGTCAGGACAGGTGAGGGAGTAGAAAAAGGCATGTATTGTTATAAAAACTTGATGAACCGAGGGCTAACCTTGTTGTGTGCCTGCTTGCTTTCTCTTGCCTATTGTGCAGGTCTGACTTTTCGAAGACGACCATCCAGAGGGGCGAGAGGGGCGCGCGGCCACGACAGGGGCCTCAGGGAGCATCAAGAGGGGATGACTCGCACAGACCGGCTTGGAGGGAGTCTACGCCTACCTTCGACGACGGTAAGATAGAGCTTTTCTGGACTCCTACCAGGCACATGCGGCACGGGAGGGCTGGTCTACCTTGGAGAGGATATGGCACCTGAGGGGAGTTGGGCGCTTCGAGGAGCCTATTGCGCACATTCGAGAGGAGGCGTTGACATAGCAGGATGTGGAGGCGAGGATGCAGATGCTGAGGGCTTCGTCGATGGGACCGGATGAATTGCCTATTCGATTGGAGGAAGGCAATGCGGAGGAGTTCATTTCGGCCTATGAGCAGTATATGCGCGACCAGGGGACTGGGCAGGAGGAGTGGATGCAGATGCTGCCCCTCTGGACACGGAGGGCGGAGAGGTCGTTGGCGAGGCAGATCCGATACAGGGCACACGACTAGGAGGACTGCCAGGCCCAGTTGAGACAGGCATCTCGATGACCGGAGCCCCTGGGGGCCGTCTTGCCCCACACCCGTTGGGACACCTCAGGGTGCAGAAAACGGAAAGACCCTCAGGCCGGTTTTGCACGCACTAAAGGGTTACCCCCATTGGCTCGCGTTTCAGCCCACGCCTGAGCGTCGAAAGATGACCCTTTGGCTCAGAGTAGGCCGTTTGGGTGTGGGCACTACATAATGCACCATCATCGCGGTTATTCCCGTAGAACTGCATAGCGAGATAGTATGTGTAAGTCCAGCGCCCTCGCGATCTTATACTAGGCTCGCGCGCGGCACTCGTTGCATCCCGCACTAAAAGAGTTATGAGTCAGGCGGCGAGACCACGAGCGCGTCACGACCAGTAAACTTGTGGTCTTGGTAACGTGAAGCGGCACGTGGGCGGAGGACTAGTCCCGGTTAGCCTTTGGGAGTCCGTGTACGGGCCTCATTATCCCGGACGCCGGGTAGCCTATGGGTAGGATACCGGACCTCCTCCGCGCGCGCATCGTTTGGGCTTATCCACCCCCTTTCCATTTTAGAAGGGCCATCAACTAATGGGGGTTGGAGTGAGTTTCCTTTTTGCGTTTTCATGGTTGGACGTTATAGTCTGTGGCGGCCGTCAAAGTCAAMCCCCTTGATGTTCGACCGCCACGACAACCTAAAGTTGTCTACTCAACCCCTCTGCACAGGGTGCTGAAGAGGGTGTAGTCTTCAACCGCGCATGGCGGTTGTCCAGCGCCGAGAGACTAACCTTCAAGGCGCGTATCAGCCGACACTTGAGTGTCGAATGCGACCCTCGCGATTAACGGGGACCGCGTGAGTATGGGTACTATATAGTACGCCATCATTGCGACTGCTTGCGTACGCTTGCATTGCGAGTCGATATGAGTTAGTCCTGCGTCCGCGCGGTTTTATAATGAGACTCCCGCGCGACGCCTATCCGATTTCCGCGTCGGGAGGTTATGGGTTGGTTACCAAGGGGCTAGGAGCGTTGTCACGTGTTTGTGTTGTGTCGTTTTCGTGTGTGTGTATGTTTTATTTTTGTGTCGTAAAGTAAGTGTGCGTGTGGTGTGTGGAATGCGTCCTAGTCGACCGACGTCGAGCCGCGCTTGGGACTTCAGCCCCCCAAGATGTCGGCTCGCGTGCGGGCCCGACAGGCGTATTACCGCGCGTACCCCCTATGCTACAGCGAACGAGAAACGCCCTCGGCTGGTCCACCTCTGCGATTGCAACCGAGTAGCTTTCGTACTGTGGACTAGTAGCTCGGCGGGGATACGCCCACCGAAKGSAGGTSMCGTAAGGTGGAGGTAAGTTGTGCCTCGCGTAGGCCCTATCCTGTCGTAGGGGCTCGCGAGAGGTATGGCTGGCGCACTCGGCCGGAGCGGCCCAAGGAAGCTCCATTTGTGTGTTCACGACAAGGTTGGTCCAACTCCTGCGTGACGCGACCGAGAGGGTCCCGCGCTGCCACGTGTGGTGCCGGACCGATGCCCTCGACAGCGCGTGTCCAGGATGCTAGGCAAAAGTCGTCTATTTCGTCTGTCTTTAAAGTCAGGCCGAGAAGTCCAATGTGCATGCTAGCCAGTGGGTAAATTAGCCCACAAGGCGGAAGGGACCGGGGTGGCACGCGGGTGCCCGACCCACTGACCCCCATCTGCTGTGAGAGGTTTAAGTGTGAGCGTGCCCGTTGGGCCACGAAAAAATGGTGAACTGTGCTCTAGCACAATGGGCTAGGGACGGCAGTGGGAGGCCGCCGCAACATTGGCTGGGTGGCTCAAGCTGTCCCGCGGCTGGTCCCAGGAAACCCCTCTCCACCACGGCCCTCAAAGTTCTCATTTGAATATTTGCTACTACCACCAAGATCCGCACCAGGACGCACCGCTACCAAGGCCCATACTGCAGGCGTAGCAGCGGGCCGCGCCTTCCTACTCACCGCATAGTGGTGAAGGTCGGTCCTCGGGGCTGACTAATTTGTCAGTTGAGTTGATCCACGCTCCCTAGCGGATTGCGACTTCTCGACCGTCAGCCTGCTGCCTGTATCCTTCGATACCGAACGATGGGATTGGAAGTTAGCACGCCGCGCAGTATCGATCGGGGCGGGGGGAGGAGGCAGTGGGGAGATGGTATGAGTCCGGGGAGCCAAGCTAGGCAGGGTGCATTCAGGAGGTGATGTAGTGGGGAAAGTAAATGAGGCGGGGAGCGATGGGCAAAGTCGGGCGGCACCAGGCGGCAGTGAGCAGATAGCGCTGCGGGTAGCGAACACAGTGGGAGCAGGCGACAAGCGTAGGCAGGAGGGAAGAAGGCCGGATGAACCGGGATGCGAAGCTGCACCGGGTGCATTCGAGGATTGGAGCAACGCAGAGAGGAGGAGCTAGCATTGAGGAAAGGCGGAGTGCTACAGAGCTTTGCAGTAGCGGACGAAGTGCAGAGGGCATGAGCAGAACGGAGGAAAACAGGGAGCGGGGCGATAGCGCAGAAGGAACGGGCGCTAGGACTATGAAGGTGAAGTGGACAGGAAAGGGTGAACCCGGACGGAAATATGAGTCAGGTGCGCGCGCAGTAAGAGGAAGCTAGTTATGGTGGAAACAAGCGTAGGCAGGAGGGAGCGGAAAAACGCAGAAACCGCCCGATTCTTGATGAAATCGGGCGGGGAAAGAGTCGAAATTGGGGTTATGAGGTAGGGCGAGATGAATGACGAAAGTAGTTTTGCTGAAGGGTTAGTAAAAGGAAAGTTAGTAGGAAAGAGTCGTGCGAGGGACCTTCGCGATAGCGGATATGGCCGTATGGGGAGATGAAGATCTCGCTCGTTTCTTGATAAAAACGAGCGAGGGAGCATTCGTTTAAGAGGTTTTTAGATGGTGCAAACCCATTGGTAGAGTTAGTTTTAGTGTTAGGTTAGTAAGATAGGAGTTAGTAGAGAAAAGTACCGCGCGGAGGTGTCGAGAGAAAGCGGAGATGGTGAGGTGAAAAAACAGGTGATTCACTCGTTCCTTGGCAAAATCGAGCAAGCAAAGATCCATCTATGGGGTTTTGGGACGCTACAAAGTAGATTGTGAGGTTAGTTTTAGATGTTAGTGGCTAGGTCTTGAGATATGAAAAATAGGAGTTGCGTCGGGATGAGGAGGCTGAAAAACGACGATGAATCTACTCTTATTTTAGCAGAAGATTCATCCAAAATTTTGCTCCTTCTATTGATAAAAGTAGCGTGGGAGCAAATGCAATGTTGGAGACTTACCGGTGGGCGGT